GTCTTTTGTGGCTGGCGTGCTTAAAGAGTGTGCGGAGAGGGAAAGCAACGAGAAAGCGGTTCTGACGGTAGAGATGAAGCTGGATATTGCCAAGTTTGCTGCGCAGATATTTCGGACAGCATTGCTCTTAAAGAAGTCCGTTGAAAGGAATGGTCGGAATAGGGATCCTTTCGAAGCATGTGGATGGCGATGGTTATGTCTGGTGGGATTGATGAATGATTACTTGGAGCCAGAGTTGCTTCGCCAAATAATTTCAGATAGTGAAAAGATTGTGCCCCGGCCGAAACATGTGTCACCATTATGGTACTTGGCCTGTCGGATGCCGGCTTCTGTTGATGGAAGGCGCGTTGCTACTCGTTTCAAGAGTTGGCTGAAAGAACCTCCAGCGTGGTGGCCGGTCAGTTCCGGAATTTATCAGGATCACTTCCCCCATGAGTTTGGCGAGCTACCGATGTCCAAGACGTCTGCCCGCTTAATTGCCTTTAGTTCCAGAGCTGCACATTGGCTTGCATCCGGGATCGGCAACTTCCGCGTGACAAGCAAAACTTGGATACCTAGCAAAAATGCCGACATTGTGAACATCTTTCACACCTCATTAGGAGACCAACGGTTTAGCCAGATGATCGACTTAGTCAAACCAAAATTTCATGCCATTATTCAAGCCCCTGAACTAATAGCCGAACTAACAGACAGATCGATCATGGAGGTCCTCTGCAAATACGCGAGTATACATCGTAAACCCGCCTACAAGTTTTGTAAAGACTGGCAGTTCGATGTGCCGTCCGAGAAGTCTGATTTGAGCATGGATTTGAGCACGGATACGTCTGAAGACGAACCGCCGCCAAAAAAGACGCGCAGTGGATGACCCCTCCCTGCCTTGCTCAGCGTTGTGCTGGACGATAACGTGCCCTCGCTGTGTCTCAACCTTTTTCTAAACCCCGACGGATCACTGACAACCCGACGGATGACTGACAACCATTACCGACGACCGAACGAACTCCTTCATCCCACTTACTGTTTCGCACCGATAGATGTCACCAATTACACACAAAATCTTACCCAGAAGGCGTCTGCTTGACTTAAAATGACAACAGCGGTGCAGGTGAGAATGGTACCAGTGTTAAAGGAAGCTGTAGGAAATTGTATAGCTCGAGGCTCAGAGGTATTGGCGAATCCGCGTTCTTGTCGCGAGCGGTCTCGGTCCCCCGCAGTTAAACCGACCACTGTTCAAACGCCATTTGACTTCTTTTATTACTTTACTAAATTTCTGGAATGAGGGTATGTTGTACCGGCCAGAGGACTGGGTACGTGACCCTGGCTATACTTGGGGTGCCGCCACCGGGCGAAGAAACCCTTCCTGGCGATGTCAGGGGTCCGAGCGCGGTGATTGAAGTAGATACGCCGGATGTCCGGTACCATGGGCAAGCTGAGGTCACGGAACGGCTGTCTCTGCTCTCCGGGGATGCGTGTCCTGAGCGTTGGTTGGCAGGCGTGACCGTACCTTTGGTGGAAGCGCGGCCCGAGCCTTTGGCGTCAACCCCGCGGGGGAGCCCATTGGTGAAAGGCCCCCAAGAACCGCTGCTGGCGTCGTCGGCCGAACCTTTGGTGAAATCCATGTCGGGGCTTGTGATGGAAGCTTACCCTGATCCTTTGTTGGAGGGCCTGGGGGAACCGTTGATGGACGTGTCGGAGCCGGTGATTCAGCCTTGGAAGGAGACTTGGTCTGAGCCTTTGGTGTCAGCCTCCAGGGAACCTTTGGTGGAAGCCAGCTCGGAGCCGCTGACGGAGGCACCGCGGGGTCGGGTGATGGAGGTAATCCCGGAGTCTTTGGTGGGAGCTTGCCCTGCACCTTTTGCGGAAGCCTGGGCTGGGTCTGACTTCGTCGCTCGGGTGTTGGATGAGTGCTTAGAGCTGGAGAAGAACCGCAAACCAACACTCTGTCCACGTCAAGAATTGGAGGTTGTTAGAATGGCTACGGCCGCTATCCTGACAGCGGCGAGTGAACAAAAAAGTAAAATGGACCTGTCCATTTCTGATTTCGAGGGGTGTTCATTTCGATGTCTAAAATTGGCATTGTTAATTCGTGAATGGCGGAAAGAAAGGAAGCATGGTGGCTTTACAGAATTGATTGCAAGACTGGAGGAGTTGGTATCTAGACCGGCTGGTTTGTCTGATACCTGGTTTCTGGCTGGCGTGATACAAATGTTCTCTTTAGCCACGTATTTGTACCGCTGGCTACCCCTTAAGGTATCGCCGCGAAGTGGCTGGGGTTGCCGGAAAATGGTATTTCGGGTCTCCCTCCCAGATGGAATTGTACGTTTGCCGGAAGATGAAGGTTCCGTAAAACGCGTTTGCGCCTGCTCAAAGCTAATCTGGTGGTTCCATCAAGCTATTGGAAATATTCGCAGTGATGAAGAGACTTGGCTCTTATTGAGTTGGCCACCGCCGCTATTCAGAATTTATCGGGACCTGGGCAAGAGGACATTTGATGATGCCATAGGGGCAATGAGGCATATAATTCGGCCTCCACTACACTTGTCCAATTTCAAGCTTATGGCTTGCTTACTCAAGTACGTTGAGACCACTTCGCCGATGATTATTGGGAGCCGTCTTCCAAAGGCCGCCGACAAGCTTAAAGCCACTTGTAGTCCTCAGTTATCCTCGTCCCGTCAATTATCCTCGGCGGGTGATCCTCTGCCCTCCTCATTCAGTTCCAGTCGAACGCCAGCTTGTTCGGCAGCGTCCCTGGTTAATGTCGATCACTCGGCTGGCCCCACGGGGGTTGATCCCGACAGTTCGGTTGCCGCGGAGATGACGTCTTTTATGGCTGGCGTGCTTAGGGAATGTGCGGAGAGGGAGAGCAATGAGAAAGCGGTTCTGACGGTAGAGATGAAGCTGGATATTGCGAGGTTTGCTTCGCAGAAATTTCAGGGTGCGCTGTTGATAGAGAAGTTGGGTGAAAGGCAACGTCGGAATAGGGACCGTTTCGAAGCGTGTGGGTGGCGATGGTTGTGTCTGGCGGGACTGATGAATGACCACTTGAAGCCAGAGTTGCTTCGCCAAATGATTGCTGCTAGTGAGAAGATTGTGCCGCGACCGAAACATGTGTCACCATTATGGTACTTGGCTTGTCAGATGCAGACCGGTCTGCGAGCACACAACTTTGTTACCGGTTTCAGGAGGTGGCTGAAAGTACCTCCTGCATGGTGGCAATTCAGCTGTGTAGTTCACCGTGATCACTTCCCCCATGAGTTTGGCGAGCTACCGATGTCTGAGACGTCTGCTCGCTTAATTACCTTCAGTTCTAGAGCTGCACATTGGCTTGCAACCGGAATCGGCAAATCCCGTCTGACACCATCCAAAACTTGGAAACCTGGCAAAAGTGCTGACATAGTGAACATCTTTCACAAGGTTTTGGGAGACCAACGGTTTAGCCAGATGATCGACTTAGTCAAACCTAAATTTCATGCCATTATTCAAGCCCCTGAACTTACCGACAAATCCATTATGGATATCCTCTTCAAATGCGCGAAAGTAAATCGCCGAACACTTTACAGATTTTGTAAAGCTTGGCAAGCTTCAGAGAGGTCTCATCCGGTCATGGATGGGGGCACGGATGGGAACTCGTCTGAAGACGACCCGCCACCGAAAAAGGCGTGCCGAGGGTAGACCCATCGATTCCCTCAGAGGGCTTACTCAGCGCACTCCGAGGGATGACAACCAACCAACCATTAATACCAGCACCGACCCCTGCCCTATTATTCTTATTACATACTAGGAATGTCGTCACGGACACCCTTACACCACACATACTAGGAATGACAAGGGCTTTCGCAACAAGTATGGTTCCTGATCACTTAGCATACCGGATGACCCCTTGTGTCGTGTTCCTACCGGGGTCGTGTTCCTGCCGGGATCCGTTCCGGTTATCTGCACAATGGATGAGAAAAATGTGGGTTAATTTTCGCTGGAGTCGCCACGGTGAGGCAGTGGAGTTTGTACGCTGGAGACTTTCGGCGACATCAAGTTCCCCCCCCCCCCCCAAATGTTCCTAACAAAATCTGGCAGACGACCATCCGGCAGATAACGCGCGGGTGCGGTGAGTTGTTGACGAATAACGTTAGGGTTCCACTTGCTTCAAAGTCGGACCCGTTGGGGAACGCAGGCTTCAAAACAAGAGTCCTAATGGCTCGGTTCACTGGCTCCAAGAGTTCACTGGCGCGTGATTTGTCTTCGTTTACGACTTGGTATTATTAATTCTGGATTACTATGAGGATATGTCGGAGCGGCCATAATACTAAGAGGATAACAACCATCGCTACATTTGGGGTGTCGCCAGTGGGAGGGACGCCGCCCAATGAAATCGGGAGTGCCAACTCGAGAGCGGAGAGCTCGACAACGGAGTTGATCTCGTCACGAATAGCAGACCTGAATCCAATGGTCGAAGAGGCGACGCCAAACGGCCGGCACCGCCAGCTCCGGCTACTGCATCAGCCCTCCGTTGATGCGTGGGCTGAGCCTTCCTCGACTGGGCCTTCCTCGACTGGGCCTTCCTCGGCTGAGCCTTCCTCGGCTGAGCCTTCCTCGGCTGAGCCTTCCTCGGCTGAGCCTTCCTTGGCTGGGCCTTCTTCGGCTGAGCCTTCCTCGGTAGGCTCGATTGTATTTTTGGCGATGTCGCAGGCGAAGCCAGTGGGGGACACCTCGCAGGAGCTATTGACCGGATCCTTGAACGAAGCCTGTCCTGACCTTGTGAAGGAAGCTTTGTGGCAACCATGGCTGAGAGCACCACAGGAGACCATGATGGAATGGTCGAGCGACCCTTGCATGGTCTCGACGGAACATTTGGTGGAAGCCGGTCCGAATCCTGTGATGGAGGAGACCCCGTTAGAACCATTGATGGAGAGCTCGAGAGAACCTTTGATGGAAGCGCGGCCTGAGCCTTTGGCAGCAACCTGGATGGGTCCTAATTTAGTGCCTCGGGTGCTGTATGGGTGCTTGGAGATGGAGAAGGACCTCAAACCCGGACTCAGTTCACTAGAAGAACTCACGGTTGTGGGGTTGGCTGAGGACGCCTTGAGAGAACTGATCAGGCGAAATAGAAGTGCAACAGACCTATCCGACTTGTCGATTTCTGATTTCGACAGTTGTTCTTGGCGATGGCTCAAATTGGCGTTGTTAATGCGGAAGTGGCAAGGCGAAGACGTTGGCCTGCTTTGGGAGTTAGAGGATTTGGTCCCTAGACCGGCTGGCTTATCTGATACCTGGTTTCTGGCTGGCGTCTTACAGAGATTCCTCCCGTCCGCGAGTCTTTCAAACTGGTTGCCTCGTACGATGTCGTCTCAGAGTGGCTGGGGTTGCAGGAAGATGATTTTTCGTGTGTCCTTTCCAAATGATATTGTTCGTTTACCGGAGAATGAGGACTCCATAAAACGCGTTTGCGCCTGCTCAAAGCTTGACTGGTGGTTCCGTCAAGCTCATAGAAACATTATCATTGACGAAGAGGCGTGGGATATATCTGAACACCCGGAGGCTATCGCCAGCGTTCGGCGTGCTTTGGGCAAGCGGGCATTTGACGAAGCTGTAGAAGCAATGAAAACTGTAATACCGCCTCCGGATTGTTTGAACATGTCGAATCGAAAGTACGTAGCTTGCTTAATGAAGCATGTTGAGACAGCCCCACCGAAACAAATCAAGATGAAAATTAAATGGAGAAGACGTGCTCCCAGGACAACCCGAGGTCCTCAAGCCGTCCCTGGTCATGAAGCCACCCGTTGTCGTGGGTCCTCCATTCCGTCCAGCTCCGATTCCGCTCCAACGCAAACTTGTTCGTCAGTGGCTTTCGTCGCTGCAGATAACTCTGTTGATCCCGATAACTCGGTTGATCCCGATAGGTCGGTTGCTGAGGAGATGACGGCCTTTGTGGCCCGCGTACTTGAAGAGTGCGCGTCCAAAGAGAAAAGCGAGGGAGTCAGTCAGGGGCAAGAGGAGGTGCTGAGTATCGCCAGACTCGGCGTGAAGAACTTTCAGGCTGTACTGTCCTCCACAAAGGTGTCAGCAGAAAGGAAACATCGGGGTCGGAGAGAGAACCCTTTCAACGCGTGTGGGTGGCGATGGCTGTGTCTTGTGGGCCTGATCAATGACTACCTGGAGCCGGGGTTACTTAACCAAGTTATTGCCGACAGCGAAAAGTTAGTGCCTAGGCCGAAACATGTGTCGCCGTTATGGTACCTGGCCTGTCGGATGCAGGCCTGTCTGAGAACAACTTCTATGACGGGAGCTCCGCCATGGTGGCGATTTAAGATAACAGTTTATCATGATCATTTCCCCCGGACGTTTGGCCAGCTGCCGTCATCTGAAGCGTCTGGCCGCTTGATTGCCTTCTGTTCTAGAGCTGCTGAATGGATCACATCCGGAATCCGCAAATTCCATCTGACCCGCAACACATGGTTACCCACCTTAAATGACGACATTGTGGATGTATTCCACAAAGTACTAGGAGACCACTGGTTCAGCGAAATGATCAATATAATCAAAGCAAAAATCTCTAAAATTGTACCTGATGAGGGTCCAGAACAAATGAAGAAGCTATCAGACAAATCCATCATGGAAACCGTCCTCAGGTACGCCCACGTGCCTAGAAGGGTCAGCTGTGGATTCTGTAAAAGTTGGCAGTTTGATGTTCCCTTAAATCCCAAGAGGTCCGGTGGAATCGCGGACACGAATTCGTCTGAGGACGAATGGCCCCCGGAAAAAGTACGCAGACTACTCACCTAGAGAAGTCTTTCCGCCGACCCAAAGCTAGCACACTGCTCGAAGTGTGCGGCTTCTAGAGCCTTACCATTACCCCTCTCAGGGGGGGGGGGGGGGTACCCCTCTCTGGTCTCGGCATTGAAGGGAATGAATGCCCGACGGGCATAGCAATCAGTCGGTTTTGGCTGTGTCATTTTTATATGTACCATTTCTACGGAGTTTCAGCATTGAGCGATAAGGGTGGTGTCCAGCGATGTCAGCACATGTGAACAGCGTTGGGTGCTGAGTGATTGTTTAGTTCCTAGACGCTGGAACCGAGTGTGAGGGCCGTTAGAGCGCGACTTCACGGACGAGGGCCGACAAATAAATTAGCAATGAGAACATGCCACGGCGGCCAGAATGCCCAGTGGGTGGTCATGGGTATATTTGTGGCACCCAACGCGGGCTACACGCCGCCCGACGACGCGGAAACCAGCGCGTTCCTGGCGGTTACGGACCCTGTGTCTAGTCCTTTTTCCCCGGATGCCTGCCCTGTCGCGAAGGCCCCGGGAGAGGAAGTCTGGCCAGAGCTCTTGGCGGAGTTCTGGGCAGAGTCATACCCAAATCCCTGGTCGGCGATTTTAGACGAGACTTGGTCGGAGTCCTTGGTGGAGCCCCCGTTGGAAGATATGATAGAGACGAACCCGGACCTGATGATGGTAGCCCCCTTGACGGAAGACGCGAGGGTGGAAGACGCGAGGGTGGAAGACGCGAGGGTGGAAGACGCGAGGGTAGAAGACGCGAGGGTAGAAGACGCGAGGGTAGAAGACGCGAGGGTGGAAGACGCGAGGGTGGAAGACGCGAGGGTAGAAGACGCGAGGGTGGAAGACGCCTTGAGGAAACCCTGGGTTGGGACGGACTTAGTTGAAAGGGTGTTGGATCAGTGCCTGAAGGACGAGAAGAATTACAAGCCGGTGCTCATGAGACATCAGCAACTGAAGATTGCAAGGTTGGCTAAGGCAGGTTTGTTGAGAGAACTGGGCAGAGCGAGCAGTGGGAAAGGCGTTCCCGACTTGTCGATTTCTGATTTTAAGTGCTGTTCATGGCGATGGCTGAAACTGGCGTTGCTAATGCGAGAATGGCAAACTAAGGATGGGGACTTCACCAACTTCATTGCGACGTTGCAGGGATTTGTGTTGAGACCGGAGGGTTTATCTGACGTATGGTTTCTGGCTGGCATCTTGCAGAGATTTATGACGGCATGGAGTTTATCCAACTGGCTACCCCGGCAGCTGTCACCTCAGGGTGGTTGGAACGGCAGGAAGATGATTTTTCGCGTTTCCTTTCCCGATGGCGTTGTTCATTTACCGGAGAGTAAGAAGTCCATAAACCGTGTTTGCGCCATGTCCAAACTAGTCTGGTGGTTACATCAGGCACAGCAAACCGTTCGTATTGATAAGGAAACATGGACAGACTCAGGATGGCCGGCTGCTCTAACCAGAGTAAAGAGTAATTTGGGTGAGATATTTGACGAGACGGTGCAGGCAGTGAAGACCAAATTCCCACCACCGTCGTTGTCGATGTCAAATTCACGATACCTTAGTTGCTTACTCAAATATGTTGACATGACTCCCCCAAGTCAGACCAAGATTCCTAGGCCTTCCTATACAGTAAAAAAACGAAAGTGTCTGCCTGATTCCAATCCTTCGACATCATCCGTGGACGCGGAAAATATCAGTGAGCCGGTTGATCCTGATAGATCGGTTATTGAAGAAATGTCGGGCTTTATGGCAAGTGTGCTTGAAGACTGCGCCGAGAGAGAGAGAAAAGAGAAAATAGGTTACCCGGTGGCGGGGAAGGTGCATGTTTCTAGAGTATGTTTCCAGAAATTTTTAGGAGTCTTGTCGTCCACAAGGAAGTCGGCTGAGCGGAATCGTGACAAGAGGATATCAGACCCTTTTAAAATGTGTGGGTGGCGATGGTTATGTCTGGCAGGGTTGATGAATGACTACTTGGAGACATATGAGGTTCTCCAAGTTATTGCCGACAGCGAAAAGTTAGTGGCTCGGCCGAAAGACGTGTCACTACTGTGGTACTTGGCATGTCGATTGCAGTCTTGTCTGAGAGGTAAAGACATTATTGCTGGTATCCTTGATGGTATGAAAGAAGGTGATGTATCTTCAGGATGGTGGACTGTCAGTACAGTAATTTACCGTGATCACTTCCCCCAGACGTTTGGCGAGCTTCCGATATCTGAGACATCTGTTCGGTTAATTGCCTTCAGTTCCAGAGCTGCACATTGGATTGCACAGGGAATCCGCAAACTTAGATGTACCCCCAAGACATGGCGGCGGCCGGTTTCAAATCGTGATATTGTCGATTCTTATCACGCGGTACTGGGGCATGGACGGTTCAATGAAATGATAAAATTGGTCAGACCCAAAATCTCGACCATTACGGACTCACCAAAAAAACTGTTAAAGCTTTCGGATAAGACCATAATGGAAATCCTCCTCAAGTATACAAAATTGGATCGAAGGATACACCTCGAATTCTGTAGGGACTGGCTGTTTGATACAGTAGCCTCGAAAGGATATAAAAGGTTATCTGAAGATGAAGCAAACTCGTCTGAAGATGAAGGACCGGCGAAAAGAGTGTGCACTAAATGACCGACTACTCATCGTCATAATATTTTTTGGTGTCCTACCAAGTACTCCAACGGCTATGAATGACTCAGAACACATCACGTAA